AATAGTGGGCCGAAACGTGTGTCGACGAGGATAATTTCGACTGATGACTGGTAGATTCCCGCTGTACTTGCTCCTTGTGAGTTTATTCCTATAAATAATATATACAAACATTCACCCAATGCGGCCAGTGCACAGCAGAAGAAATGGAATAGTGGATTGGAGTTTATGGGAGAGGTTCAGGACCGGATTAACCAGTAGGCACACTTAGCACCTGCTTATGGCATCACAAAGGTAGCGGATACCACAGACATGTTCAATAGCTTTGGAACAGCTTTTATTTTCTCTGTTGAAGTATATTTGTGAGAATCCCATCAGAGCAGCAAGGCAGGTTGGTTGCCTTATCTGTGTTAGGTATTGTAGCAAAATTTCTGATATAAAATTAATTCTGAATATCGGATCAAAGACATTGAGATTAAATAAAGTAAGAGAAAACTGTTCTAATAAGAAACGGACAGAAGAATTCAAAAATAAACATTGTGTGTGTGTGTGTGTTTTGTTTTGTTTTGGATCTTGTTTGATTTCACAAAATAACATTTAGTTGTATAGATTATATTTCGAAACACATATGTATATATACACATATGGGGGCGCCTGTGACGTCTTGAGACATGGGCCCGCTAAACATTTGACAGGGGCTAGCTAGCCCCACGAATACAGGGCTGCATGCTAATCTGTGTACGTCAAGTGACCATTTAGATTCCAATTATGTGAGCGGTCGTTGTTGGGGCCTCCTGCTGATCTGTATGTCAAGTGACCATTTAGATTACATTCATGTGAGTGGTCGTCGTCGGGGCCTCATGCTGATCTCTATGTCAAGTGACCATTTAGATTACATTCATGTGAGTGGTCGTCGTCGGGGCCTCATGCTCATCTGTACGTCAAGTGACCATTTAGATTACATTCATGTGACTGGTCGTCGTCGGGGCCTCATGTTGATCTCTACGTCAAGTGACCATTTAGATTACATTCATGTGACTGGTTGTCGTCGGGGCCTCATGCTGATCTGTACGTCAAGTGACCATTTAGATTACATTCATGTGAGTGGTTGTCGTCGGGGCCTCATGCAGTTCTGTGTACGTCCAGTTACAATTTTGATTACATTCATGGGATTGGTTGTCGTCGGGGCCTCACCACATTGGTTTTCAAGGGACCTATTAAGCTGTTAATAACGCTCTGAAAACAAGAAAGGGGGGAGGGGAATAGGGGTTGGCAGATTTAGTCAAGTGCTTACAGCATCAAAAAGTCATAATCCGCTCTTAGGGAGAGCCACTGATTTTGTTATGGGCACACTCATGTCCACGTCCTGTCTCCATTTATAATAAAACTGTTTTAATTTAATTTTTTGTTTTAAACATCACTATATACTCGTCGGCTCAGTGGCTAAGTTGACGCGAACGCTTCATAATGACGGGGTGCCAGGTTCGATCCCAGCTTCGGACCATGCGCCTTGCGTTGGTTTCGACAGTGGTATCAGGGGGCGGACCGTACAGAAAGCAATGGCAAACTACTGGATGTAAATTTGCCTAGAAAAACCACACAACAGCCAGGGGCTGCTTGGGTTATTTCTGCAACGTCTTGTAAAGTATACGCAACTAACCATATATGACTATATACTTGCTTATTGTTTTATAAAGGTTGGGAAAAAACGGGGAGGAGGGAGGGGGGTGGTGCATTCTGGTGATAACCATACAACTTCTAACAAATCCTGAAATAAGGATATCACACTGACGATGGATCGGGCAAACACTGACACATATCCCTCTTCTTTTTTCGCGCTCATCAGCGGAAAATTCTGGTTGTTCACTTTTGCACTTTAGTCTTGTTCCAGACCTTCATTTGTTGCGTGCACATCCGTTTTACAGATCTGGCTTATTTGTATGCATACGTTTTGGTTCCTCGTCTCGCCTCTCATGCAGCTGTGCTCCAACTTTAAAGGAAACCCCGCAATTAGTGGACTGTTATGACATATTCTTGGAGTTTCATTAGGCCCCCCCCCCCCCACCACCACCAAGATCTCATAATGAGGTCCCAGAACCCACACGGGGAAAACACCAATTAAAAACTGACAGAAGAATTGCTAGAATTTCCCTTTCTTTGTAACCCACAGTCCACAAGAATTTGAAATGCAGGCGAATTAATTGGCAAGTTTCATAATTTGGACAGTCATTGCCGGCATAGTACTGCAGGTTATACTTGGCTGGTGTCGTCGTGTGCTCTAATTATACCTGGCTGGTATCGTGTGCCCTAATTATACCTGGCTGGTGTCGTCGTGTGCCCTAATTATACCTGGCTGGTGTCGTTGTGTGCAATAATTATACCCCGCTGGTATCGTTGTGTGCCCTAATTATACCTGGCTGGTGTCGTGTGCCCTAATTATACCTGGCTGGTATCGTTGTGTACCCTAATTATACCTGGCTGGTGTCGTTGTGTGCCCTAATTATACCTGGCTGGTATCGTGTGCCCTAATTATACCTGGATGGTATCGTTGTGTGCCCTATTTATACCTGGCTGGTGTCGTCGTGTGCAATAATTATACCTGGCTGGTATCGTTGTGTGCCCTAATTATACCTGGCTGGTGTCGTGTGCCCTAATTATACCTGGCTGGTATCGTTGTGTGCCCTAATTATACCTGGCTGGTGTCGTTGTGTGCCCTAATTATACCTGGCTGGTGTCATCGTGTGCCCTAAATATACCTGGCTGGTGTCGTCGTGTGTCCTATTTATACCTGGCTGGTGTCGTTGTGTGCAATAATTATACCTGGCTGGTGTCGTCGTGTGTCCAAATTATACCTGGCTGGTGTCGTTGTGTGCCCTAATTATACCTGGCTGGTGTCGTCGTGTGCCCTAATTATACCTGGCTGGTGTCGTCGTGTGTCCTAATTATACCTGGCTGGTGTCGTTGTGTGCCCTTATTATACCTGGCTGGTGTCGCTGTGTGCCCTAATTATACCTGGCTGGTGTCATCGTGTGCAATAATTATACCTGGCTGGTGTCGTCGTGTGTCCTAGTTATACATGGTTGGTGTCGTTGTGTGCCCTAATTCTACCTGGCTGGTGTCGTCGTGTGTCCTAATTATACCTGGCTGGTGTCGTTGTGTGCCCTAATTATACCTGGCTGGTGTCGTCGTGTGCCCTAATTATACCTGGCTGGTGTCGTCGTGTGTCCTAGTTATACATGGTTGGTGTCGTCGTGTGTCCTAATTATACCTGGCTGGTGTCGTCGTGTGCCCTTATTATACCTGGCTGGTGTCGTCGTGTGCCCTTATTATACCTGGCTAATGTCGCTGTGTGCCCTAATTATACCTGGCTGGTGTCGTCGTGTGCCCTAATTATACCTGGCTGGTGTCGTTGTGTGCCCTAATTATTCATGGCTGGTGTCGTCGTGTGCCCTAATTATACTTGGCTGGTGTCGTAGTGTGCCCTAATTATACTTGCTTTGGAGGTTGAACGGAGTAACTAGCATCCATGTTGTTGGTCTGTCGTCCAGTTTCTTTTCCTTCTTCTTCGAGTTTACCAGCTGTAAACTCCAAAGCAAAGTTTTGGTTGTTAGTCCACTTATGGACAGCAGTCCTGTTCCAGAACCTGAGTGTTGCGTGTGCATTCGTTTTACAGATCTTAGTTACTTTTATGCAGACTGCTGGTTCCTTGCCTCTTATGCAGATGCACTCAGACTTCGAAGGAAGCTCCCAATTAGTCGATTCTTACGACATGCTTTTTTTTTGGGGGGGTAGGCACTGGGTCTATTCTTGTCTTTCCTATAATAGGGCCATACACAGGGATCGTCCAGACTGGGATTGTTTAGTGTCAGAGGTAAAGGTAAGGTTGAGAGAATCGACTTCATTGCACCACCTTTTATCCCATATGGCTCAGCATCTCTCCGCATAACAGGTAGTTACCTGCCGATATCGTCACACAGAGCACGACCTACGTAGCTCTGGCGACGATCCTAATGGATCGTTTAGTTTCAGAATGGCTTTATAAATTTTTAAGTAGCAGCCCACGGAAACAAAACTAATCAATCAATCGATCAAAGTCAGGGGGCACAAAAGCACACAGAACTACCTGCCTATATTTGTTGACGAGTTGTCACTCCACAGAAGTCAAACTCTCACCGTTCGATTTTACTTCACAAAATATTTTCTGGTACCCTCTTTCAGCTGGGTCCTTCTGGAAGCCAAAGTCACGTTTTAAAAACTCGCGACATTAGTATTTCGAAATTCTAACCACCATGCCTGCAGGCAAGCATGTGAATTAGTGACCACCCACCAGCTGATATGAAAAAGACCTTACAACTAACATGAAAGAGAATTAAAGATATAAATACTGGCTACATGAAGGCATATAAGGGCTTTAATTTAGTTTGACTCGGTTGAGTGCCAACAACGTCGGTGATTATTATTATTATTATTATTATTATTATTATTATTATTATTATTATTATTAGTAGTAGTAGTAGTAGTAGTAGTAGTAGTAGTAGTAGTAGTAGTAGTAGTAGTAGTAGTAGTAGTAGTAGTAGTAGTAGTAGTAGTAGTAGTAGTAGTAGTAGTAGTAGTAGTAGTAGTAGGAGCAGCAGCAGTAGTAGTAGTAGTAGTAGTAATAGTAGTAGTAGTAGTAGTAGTAGTAGTAGTAGTAGTAGTAGTAGTAGTAGTAGTAGTAGTAGTAGTAGTAGTAGTAGTAGTAGTAGTAGTAGTAGTAGTAGTAGTAGTAGTAGTAGTAGTAGTATTAGTAGTAGTATTTTTGTAACAATTTTTATTTTGACCAGCAAGGTGATAATAAAATAACGTTTAAGCACACAACGTCCACCTGTGGGTTTGCGGCCCCATTCCGGGGGTAAAATGAATAGATCCAATGACCACTATAAAGGCGACTAATTGTGGGTGTTTCCTTTGTTTGGAAGAATATCGTCCAGAAGCTGACGAACAACTAAACCTTTCTGACGCAGTTTACCACAAGGAAACGCTAAGAAGAAGGAGCACACGCAAACAATCATCGCAACACTCACCATTATTAGTTGAGTTCAACTCCAGACTGGACCGAACATCAAAGATCAGCACATGCACGACCCTGCTGTAGGCCACGCCCATCACTGTCACCGGAAGCACTAGCAAGGCCAGGTCAAGGACGACGGTGTAGGTCTGTTCCGCTCCCAGGTTAGGCCAGATCTCCCTGCACCTATGGGCGCCGTTACCAATGGCTGTGTGTTTCTGGAACACTGCTGTTGGGGTCATCAAGGCGGCAGACAAGAACCAGCACACTGCGATACATCTGTGGAACATTCATTCGTGGAATCATTTACAGCTAGTTTCAACGTTCAGCTTCTACCTTCTTGTGTTACAGATTTATAATAATCTAGTCCTTGAGGGAGAAAAAAATTTGCGTTATTGATTTGAAGCGCTACGGAAAGATTTTCAGAATACCATGGCCGAGAATAACAGAAATACCGACATCATGAAAGATCTGAACATCCCAGAAGATTGGGTAGTCTACAGCATCTAGTCTCAAAAACTGAAATATGCTGGCCACATCAAGCACCTGAAGGGATTGGAAAGAATAGTAGCAGAAGGCCTTGTGCCAGGAAAGAGAGGTAGCACGATAGTGAGTACAGGATAGGAGTCATACTTTTGGTTGGAAAGTGCTCGAGTTAGGAGATCTGGTGAAAGACCAAAAAGCAGGCTGTAATGAGAACGACGTTTTGCAAACAACCTGCTACATCATGAGTGTTTTGACTGTAATTTTTAGGTGGGAAACAATCGTGTAAACATGACATCCGATTTTTGATCCCTGATTGTTTAAATAATCCAAAAAAGTTTTACAGAAATGTATTCTTTCCTCTTCAACCCTAAAATGTGAAAGAATCATTAGAACTGTTGCGTTCCAGGATATAGTGCTAAAGAATTAGAAGTTCTTTGTCGTTGCATCTTTTACCCTGATTTGTGAAACATGATTCACTTCTTATTCATCTCAGTCCTAACTGAAAATATTAATTAATAAATAATAAGGATTTTTCTCTTTTACCCTGGAATATGGAACAATTATTAATAAATATACTCTGCTTTTTAGACTGTTGAAACCTGCAGGCGCTTAATAGAGCTACCTGACCGAGTGTGATTACCTGTAGGGTGTGATAATTAGATTTCCCGTTGTCGTGTGAAAGAGTCTGATTACCTGTAGTTGTATGACAGAGACGAATTACCTGTTTGCTTTTGACTATAATTACATGAACCTTGTGACATCATCTAATTACCTACAGGTTTATGACAGTATGATTACCTATTGGCGTGTGACAGAGTCTGATTATCTGTGTGCATGTGACAGTCTGAATATCTGTGTGCATGTGACAGTCTGAATATCTGTGTGCATGTGACAGTCTGATTATCTGTGTGCATGTGACAGTCTGAATATCTGTGTGCATGTGACAGTCTGATTATCTGTGTGCATGTGACAGTCTGATTATCTGTGTGCATGTGACAGTCTGATTATCTGTGTGCATGTGACAGTCTGATTATCTGTGGGCGTGTGACAGTCTGATTATCTGTGTGCATGTGACAGTCTGATTATCTGTGTGCATGTGACAGTCTGATTATCTGTGTGCATGTGACAGTCTGATTATCTGTGTGCATGTGACAGTCTGATTATCTGTGTGCATGTGACAGTCTGATTATCTGTGTGCATGTGACAGTCTGATTATCTGTGTGCATGTGAGAGTCTGATTATCTGTGGGCGTGTGACAGTCTGATTATCTGTGTGCATGTGACAGTCTGATTATCTGTGTGCGTGTGACAGTCTGATTATCTGTGTGCGTGTGACAGTTTGAATATCTGTGTGCATGTGACAGTCTGATTATCTGTGTGCATGTGACAGTCTGATTATCTGTGGGCATGTGGCAGTCTGATTATCTGTGGGCGTGTGACAGTCTGATCTTCTGTGTGCATGTGACAGTCTGAATATCTGTGTGCATGTGACAGTCTGATTATCTGTGGGCGTGTGACAGTCTGATTATCTGTGGGCGTGTGACACAGTCTGGTTATCTGTGAGCGTGTGGCAGTCTGATTATCTGTGGGCGTGTGACAGTCTGAATATCTGTGTGCATGTGACAGTCTGATTATCTGTGTGCATGTGACAGTCTGATTATCTGTGTGCATGTGACAGTCTGATTATCTGTGTGCATGTGACAGTCTGATTATCTGTGTGCATGTGACAGTCTGATTATCTGTGTGCATGTGACAGTCTGATTATCTGTGTGCATGTGACAGTCTGATTATCTGTGGGCGTGTGACACAGTCTGATTATCTGTGAGCGTGTGGCAGTCTGATTATCTGTGTGCATGTGACAGTCTGAATATCTGTGTGCATGTGGCAGTCTGATTATCTGTGTGCATGTGACAGTCTGATTATCTGTGGGCATGTGGCAGTCTGATTATCTGTGTGCATGTGGCAGTCTGATTATCTGTGTGCATGTGGCAGTCTGATTATCTGTGGGCGTGTGACAGTCTGATTATCTGTGAGCGTGTGACACAGTCTGATTATCTGTGGGCATGTGGCAGTCTGATTATCTGTGTGCATGTGGCAGTCTGATTATCTGTGGGCGTGTGACAGTCTGATTATCTGTGTGCATGTGACAGTCTGATTATCTGTGAGCGTGTGACACAGTCTGATTATCTGTGGGCGTGTGACAGTCTGATTATCTGTGGGCGTGTGACAGTCTGATTATCTGTGGGCATGTGACAGTCTGAATATCTGTGTGCATGTGACAGTCTGATTATCTGTGTGCATGTGACAGTCTGATTATCTGTGTGAATGTGACAGTCTGAATATCTGTGTGCATGTGACAGTCTGATTATCTGTGGGCGTGTGACAGTCTGATTATCTGTGGGCGTGTGACAGTCTGATTATCTGTGTGCATGTGACAGTCTGATTATCTGTAAGCGTGTGACACAGTCTGATTATCTGTGGGCGTGTGACAGTCTGATTATCTGTGGGCGTGTGACAGTCTGATTATCTGTGGGCGTGTGACAGTCTGATTATCTCTGAGCGTGTGACACAGTCTGATTATCTGTGGGCATGTGACAGTCTGATTATCTGTGGGCGTGTGACAGTCTGATTATCTGTGAGCGTGTGACACAGTCTGATTATCTGTGGGCGTGTGACACAGTCTGATTATCTGTGGGCATGTGACAGTCTGATTATTTGTGGGCATGTGACAGTCTGATTATCTGTGGGCGTGTGACACAGTCTGATTATCTGTGGGCGTGTGACAGTCTGATTATTTGTGGGCATGTGACAGTCTGATCAGTCTGATTACCTGTAAGCATATGACAGATTACCTGTAGGCGTGTGACAGAGTCTGCCAGGATCTAGAATGAAGGGGTCGACAGATGGCGAAGTATCTCTCCAGTGAGATGGCCACCAGAGTGAAGCAGCTGACCCCAACAGACACCGCTGTGGAGGAAACAGAAGGCAAGTTAAAGCCAGTAAAATATCATGTTCGTATCTTTTCCATAATGCTCCCCCTCCCCCCCCCCCCCCCACACCCATGTAATCGCTCATGACCTTCATCCTTGTAAGCGAGCCACCATGGTGTTGTGGCTAGACGCTTGCCTCCTGGTCCTGGTAAGGCTTAACTTTTTTTATGACCTTGGCGCCCTGGTTGACCCAGCCTTAAATAGGTACAAGGTTAGTTAGCGGGCCGGGGGTCAAGCCCTATATTCCCAATACGCATGAAGGCGTGGACAAGGGTAATTTACCTTTACTTCTCTCCGTGCAGATAAAGTTTTTTTTTTTGGTGGGGGGGGGGGGGGGGGGGGGGGAATACATTTCTCCTGGCATTCGGACTGTGGTATAAGACTCGCAATGTGGCAGACATTGAGACCTCACTACATAATACTTTCTTCCCTAAACGTCCGTCTCCCTTGCGGGGACGGCACTGAATGTACCCAGTTGAAAGTAAAGCCAACGACATCTTTTCTCACAATAAACAGTTGTTTCTACCCTTAAGTCATTTTGAAACAAGATCTTGACCCACTGAGTTTAGACATGTCGGCATTGAAGGAGTTATGCAGTCAAACCACACTTGCTGGATTTACTTTCCATGTTACTGTTGGTATCAAGTTTAGGTTTTTAGGTTCGACATGACAGTTACTAAGTTTACAATTATTTTTAAAATAAATAGTGGCAATATACGATATTCGTAACTTTCATTTATCTTCTATCAGTCTATATAATCTGTAACGAGGAAAAAAATTAATGGAACGCAAACTGTTCTGGTTGTCAGGCAGAGAAGCTAGTTGTTGGTGCTATTAAGATTTCTTACGAGTGTTACACATTCTTTACAAGACTTTACAAATCAACCCAGAATTTGCTGGTTGTTTTGTGGTTTTACCCTGCAATTTTACATTCAGAACTTTATCAGTGCTTTTCGAACAGTTCGACAGTCATACCGCAAAGTGATCTTCAGCCAAATGGCATGCTGCTGAATGGAACCATGCATGTGGAAACTTTATTCACAACATACGCAACAGGTGTCATCATATACCGGAATCAGGTAAAATTGCCTTTTATAAAATCGATCGGTTTATCGCCTACCAGCGGCTTACCATACCATCCTGAAGTACCCTCTTAATCTGGACGGCAGACCAATAAGGCAGGTCCCAGATTCCCTGTTCAACCTCCACAGAAGTTATAATTAGAGCAGACGTGACGGCTTCACCGGGCATGTGTTACATGTAGTCCTACGCTGCTAAAAATCTTGTGCAAATAATCATGGAGCCATGGATTATGTCAGAGCAAAAAGTACATCAGGTGGCTAGTAACATTGGGTGGATTAAATCGGTCAAGATTAGACGATGAAAGTCTCAGTAAGATAGCATCAACCCCAGGCACACAGAGAGAGAGGCAAAAAACAGAGAGAAAGGGAGACAGACGGATGGACGGACAGACAGACAGACGGACAGACGGACAGACAGACAGACGGACAGACAAACAGACAGGCAGAGAGACAGACAGACGGACGGACGACAGACAGACAGACAGACAGACAGACAGACAGACAGACAGACAGACAGACAGACAGACAGACAGACAGACAGACAGACAGACAGACAGACAGACAGACAGACAGACAGACAGACAGACAGACAGACAGACAGACAGACAGACAGACCGACAGACAGACAGACAGACAGACAGACAGACAGACAGACAGACAGACAGACAGACAGACGGACGGACGGACGGACGGACGGACGGACAGAGAGACGGACAGACGAACAGGCAAACAGACAGGCAGAGAGACAGAAAGAAGGACGGAGAGACAGACGGACGGATGGACGGCAGACAGACAGACAGACAAAGCAGACATACAGACAGACAGACAGACAGACAGACAGACAGACAGACAGACAGACAGACAGACAGACAGACAGACAGCTGACAGACATATACTGATGGATGGACCAACAGAAAGTGACAGATATCCACGGAATCACACAGACAGACAGACAGACAGACAGACAGACAGACAGACAGACAGACAGACAGACAGACAGACAGACAGACAGACAGACAGACAGACAGACAGACAGACAGACAGACAGACAGACAGACAGACAGACAGACAGACAGACAAAGCAGACAGACAAACGGTCGGACGGGTAGACAAACAGACATACAGACGGTCGGACGGACAGACAGACAGAGCAGACAAACAGACACAATTTTCACAGGGTTAAGAACTGGACATGCATGTCCTTTTAACATTCTTGTCACGTGGCCTCATTCAGGGCCTACGTTGTTTCATTCATGTAAATTTAACCGGCAAAAACAAACATCAGTAACAACAGCTACATCTCTCGTGGGTATGTCACTGAATTTCTCAACAATAATTTTCATTAGATTAAAAATTATTATAAAAATGTTATAAATATACGACATTCGTAACATTCATTTTAGAGCATATAATCTGCAATGAGATAATAATGATAAAGTTTCTGAATATATTTATTTAGGTGTCAATCGTATTTTTGATTCGCCGTGGAAGATGGTTCTACAGCTAAGCTGCGGAGTTTGCTAAGCTGGCTTTGTATAGTTCGATTTTAGTTTTCGGGATGTGTTAGGCACTTGCTGTCTTCATTTTTGTACAGACAACCAAACACACAGACAGACATCAGTGATTCTATGCTTGAACTCTACAAATATCTTGACCGTGACCTTCTGATATCTCGTTGATCAATGGCCTCTGTTGATGAGCTTATTTCCGCCGGAAGCCGAAATCCTCCATAGCAGATCGGTGTACTCTGAGTCCGGAATTCGAGAATCATTTTCCGTGTCTGAGTTTTTAAAGTGGGGCGCTGACCAGGAAATAGAGTGGGATACATCATATCGAAGACGATGGAGGAAAATCAGCTGGAGATTGTAATAAAATGTCAAAAGTAAACAGACAGTGTTAATATTGTAATAACAAAGAGAAAATACATTGGCAAAAGTGAACGGACAGTACTAATGTTGTAGTAACCAAGAGAAAAAATACTGGCAAAAGTTAACGGACAGTACTAATGTTGTAGTAACCAAGAGAAAATATACTGGCAAAAGTGAACGTACAGTACTAATGTCGTAGTAACAAAGAGAAAACATATTGGAACAAGTAAACAGAAAATACTAATGTCGTAGTAGCCAAGAAAAAAAAACACTGGCAAAAGTGAACGGACAGTACTAAAGTCGTAGTAACCAAGAGAAAATATACTGCCAAAAGTCAACAGACAGTACTAACTAATGTCATAGTAGCCAAGAGAAAATACATCTGCATGTTCTGTATATGCATTTTCAGACCCCTTTGTTTTGATGTAGACAACAGTAAAGAGAGGGGCCCGTTCACAATGCAACGACAAACTACTAAATGTAAAATAACCTAGTAAAATCAAAAATAGGGAAAAACAATGCTTGGGTTGGATCTTAAACGATCTGTTAGGGGACATTACTGTCTTTCAAGTCGACTATGTTCGACACTCGCCTGTCGGATCTAGAGTGGAAGGTTCCAGTCAGCACCGATGCGTGTTTGGTCACACACACACACACACACACACACACACACACACACACATAAGAATTTTGAATTAGGAATCGGCATTATAGCACTAGGGACACTCATATAAGCTCACTGTCCCCATCTTCAGCAGCATGTAAAAAGTTCCATTTCCGATGGTACCAGTAACTATCTGATTGTCTATCCATCTCGCGTTTCCCTTGAGCGTTGAGGAGTGTCGGTCAGATCCCCTGGTACTCCTCACAACGCCATCCTCCTGTACCGTAATGATCTATCTGTGCCTTCGCACTATTTATTTGCTCTCAAAAGGCCCTGACAATATCTAGCGTGTCGAACATCAATTCACCACCCAGTGTGCAGAACTGACCAATCTATCTGCCTGCTAATTTCCCTGCTCATATCCAAACACACCGTTGTGGTTAGTTAGTTGCGTATCCTTTACAGGACGTTGCAGAACCAACCCCAACAGCTCCTGGCTGTTGTGTGGTTTTTCTAGGCAAATTTATGTCTAGTAGTTTGCCATTGCCCTCTGGACGGTCGGCTTTCTTGATACCACTGTCGAAACCAACGCAAGGCCCATGGCCTGCAGCTGGGATCGAACCCGGCACCTCGGTATTACGAAGCGTTCGCATCGACTTAGCCACAGAACCGACACACCATTATGACCTGGAGAAAATATCCAAGGGATGCAACTTTCCGGGACCTCAAGCAGTGAGCATTCAATATTCAGTCGACCCCGACTACACCTGGTACCAGTACTTCAGGTAAGTACAGACGGTCGGTGTGATGTTGAGTACATCAGGCACACAGTGTCGATTGCTCTACACAAATCAGTCTAGCACCACATGTCCGATGCGCCACATGGGTGAAAATAGTCATTTACTTTCTGTATACATTGTAAACCCCATCTCGTGTGTGCCAGCCTAGAATATGCGAAGCTAGGATTTTAGTGGCAGAACAGGCAGGGGTTTACCAAAACGACAGTGGACACGGCATAATAAAGACACCCCACTTATTAAAGTGAGTGAGTGAGTGAGTGAGTGAGTGAGTGAGTGGGTGGGTGGGTGGGTGGGTGGGTGGGTGGGTGGGGTTGGAGTGGAACTGCCAATTGATCACAAGTATATACAGATACAATCAGTGCGACGTTCTGAAATAGACGTGCTTCAGCAGGATGATGTTGATTGATGATGATTCTGATGATGAGATGATGACGGTGATGAAGATGAAGACGACGATGACTATAATGCGATGAGAAACGAATTATGCGTTTACACTAATCAGATGTAATTAACAATAAACAAAAATTGTCGTCACATAATGCCGACAGATCAATTCTTTCAAATACAACAACGGATTCGCGAGACAATAAGGTAGCACCTAGGGATTACAGCATTCGATATGA